CAGCCAATGCCAGCCAGCCTTGAGCGGGATTTTTTTTTTTTCAACGTTTATTTATTTTTGGGACAGAGGGAGACAGAGCATGAATGGGCGAGGGGCAGAGAGAGAGGGAGACACAGAATCGGAAACAGGCTCCAGGCTCTGAGCCATCAGCCCAGAGCCCGACGCGGGGCTTGAACTCACGGACCGCGAGATCGTGACCTGGCTGAAGTCGGACGCTTAACCGACTGCGCCATCCAGGCGCCCCTGAGCGGGATTTTTTAAAGCACAGGGATGGCAGGAGATAAGACCTTGGTTCACTGAGGTGAGAGAAGACTTCTGCATAAAACAGAAACTCCTAATGCATCGTCCCGTCCATCCTCAAAGAATTCACAAAGATAAAAGCCTTCTGAATGGATGGTTTGCCAACCACATGGGGAAAATAATACCATGAAAACAATCCAGCGGCAAAAAAAGCAGAGTTAGATTCACGTATTTTAGAATGATCACATATCATTCACACATGCCAAGAAATGTATGTGTCAGTGCATTCAATTGAAAAGGGTTTTGTTTTTGAAGAGACTGCTCAAATTAACCAGGTGGGTTCGAAAAGGAACTTGAAAAGAAAAACCTAATGATCGATGCGAGTAATGTAGTGAATGGATTAAATAGCAAGTTAGTCATGGCCGAAGATAAGTGTTATATAGAACTGAGCAAGTTACATAGAGAGCAGCCCAGAGGGAAAAAGATATGGAAAGTCTGAAGGTGCAATTAAAGAGTAAGGTAATTTTCAAAGGTATGAGCTGAGACTTCTGAGGATTTTTTTTTAATTTTTTACTGTTTATTTATTTTCGAGAGAGAGACAGAGACAGAGTGCAAGCAGGGGAGGAGCAGAGAGAGAGAGAAAAGGAGACACAGGATCCGAAGCAGGATCCAGGCTCTGAGCTGTCAGCACAGAGCCCGATGAGGGGCTCGAACTCACGAACCGCGAGATCATGACCTGAGCTGAGGTCGGACTCTCAACCGACTGTGCCACCCAGGCTCCCCGAGACTTCTGAAGATTTAAACATTTAATCACTGGTTTAGGAATTGCAAGAAAGAAAAAAATCCTAACAACATCTTAATGAACCTACAGAGTAGAAAAGACAAAGACAAGATCTGGAAAGTATCCAGAGAGAACTCAATTGCCAAGATGGCTGATTTCTCACGAGAAGCAATGGAACTGGAAGACAGTGGAATAGCCTCTTTGAAGTGCTGTTAGTCTACATTTATATACCCAGTGAAATTCTTTCTCAAGAACAAGAGTAAAATAATTTTCTGAGGCTACCAAAAGAGTCTCTGATGGACACATTTATAGGATGTTCTTCAGAAAGAAGTCAGTGATCCCAAAAGGGAGTTATGAACCACAAAAACAGATAGAGCAAAGAATATTGGTAAATCTAAACAAACATTGGTTATTCAAAGCAGTGGCACAAATGGATAGTTTCAAAGGTTAAAAAAAATGTACAACTAGAATCATGGGGAACTTATTTGTTAAGAGGTGAGTAATCACAGTTTAAACAGTGTAGTCTGTATTGTTTGGGAAAAGTTGAAAAAAGTGTCCATGACTTTAGACTTTGTGATGTTAGGTATTTATGATCAAATAGCTATGAGAAACACTAGCGAATAGTATGAATGACATCCATACAGAAATGAACATAAATATATCATATAACCATGGGTACAGTCACTGTAAATATACTTACTCTCAAGTAAAGGACAAATATAGCCTAGATTCAAAGAAAACATAACTATATTGTATTTATAAGAGCTATAACTGATACGAATGTTTGACAGTCAAGGGAGCAAAAAAGGTATATAATTTAATTATTAACCTGTATCTTTAATTTTTTTTGCTGTAGGATTCCTAGAGTTTTACTCCATATTCATAAATAGTTTCACTAGCAAGATTTAATAATTCCACTCTAAATAAAATAAAAATTGACAGAACTGCAGAAAACATCAAATCCATAACACAATGGACAAGCCTGTCGCAATGGACTTAGAAATAACAATTGGAGAATTAAAATCAGATCCTTAATGATCCTGTAGCACTTGCCTTAATTAGTAGTAGATACAATGAAGTATAAGAAAAATGGACTCACAAAGGGAATTTGACATTTGAGAAAAAAATAACTTACACCATGCAATGATACGCAGTCAGAGACTAATGAAGAGTCACAGTAAATAATTGCTGGGTTCAGGGGTAGGTAAAATTGGCAGTTTAGGTTGCAATTTACAAAAGAAATACTATTTTACGGGGCATCTGGATGGCTCAGTCTGTTAAGCTTCCGCTTTAGCTCACGTCATGATCTCAAGGTTCTTGGGTTCAAGCCCTGCGTCCGGCTCTGTGCTGACAGCTCAGAACCTGGAGCCTGCTTCAGATTCTGTCTCTGTCTCTGTCTCTGTCTCTCTCTCTCTCTCTCTCTCTCTGCCCCTCCCCTCCTCACACTCTGTCTCTCTCTCAAAAATAAACATTAAAAAATATTAAGAAATATTATTTTCCTTTAAAAATGGATCATTTTTCTGATGATTAAAGTGGTACAATCAAATGCAGAATGGCAAAATTAATTACTGTGTAGAATGACCTAAAATTCCCATAAGATTGCTGTGTTCCAAACAACATATCTGGGAATGTATATGCAACAGATATGGGCAAAAGGCATGAAAATGTTATTCACAAAGCAAGAAAGAGAAATTGCTAATAAGTATTTGAAAAGATGCACAACATCAAATGTAATCTGAGGGGATAGAAAGGGAAGTAACAACGAGGCAACGTTTTTCATGTCCAATTGGCAAGGATGAAAAAGATTGAAAAGCTCATTCATAGGGGTTTATGGACACAGGGATTTGCTCCGATATTTTCTCCATTCTTCGTATTGTCATTCAAGGAGGCTTATGGTATTTCCTTTTTGTGTGTGATGCACAGAAATTTGGTGCTTTGTAATAACATTGATCCATCTTGCAGGGGTTTTTTGAGGTTTAGTTTTATTACTTTAAACATCTGAACAAATTGACGGTGTATTCTGTACTCTTTGATGGAGTAATTCCACTTCTAGGAGTTTATCCCAAGGTATAAAATGATATAAACGCTCAAGATTTTTCTTCATAGCCTTGTTAATATTAGTGAAATACTGGGTAAATTTCCAGGAATAAGTGAGTTGTGAAAGAGATTATGGGGGAGGGGGGGAAGGGTGCACCATTTAAAAGATGATGTGAGTTAACAGTAAGCTTTTAAATGACATGTTGACTATTCACATAGGAAGATATGTATGACGTTACTAAGTGGATGAAGCAGGGTATTTCTCTGTTGTCTAAACTTGTGTGTGCACCTATCCATCATAAGCAGTAACTTGTTTACGTTTGCACTAGTCATAGCCCATGATGAGTGTGGTCTCTTCTATAAAGTAAAAAGTAATGTTTGGGCTGCTTTCAGCATATCTCTTTACATCTCAGGGCCTCCTTTTTTTTTTTTTTTTAAGTTTATTCATTTATTTTTTGAGAGCAAGAGAACAAGTGAGCACAAGTGGGGGAGGGGCAGAGAGAAGGCGAGACAGATTCCAAAGCAGGTTTCGCACCATCAGCCCAGAGCCCAATGTGGAGCTCGAACTCATGAACCCTAACTTCACGACCTCAGCCGAGATCAAGAGTTGGACGTTTAATTGAGTGAGGCACTCGAAGCCTCTCCATCTCAGGGCCTCCTTAAGCACCCTCATCTCTAAAACTGAGGGCAAAGGAGTGAGCCTTGGGCTTGAGTAGCAATGACAAATATGCTATTGTGGTTATTACATCCCTCGTCTGCATCTAGAACACACAGTCTTCATCGGCCCTAGTCTCCTTTCTCTGGCTCGGCCATATCTCAGAATTCTTCTCAATACAGTGTTAGGTCAACATCTCTAATCAGATTATACTTTGCACTTGGAACTTCTCTGCCATCCTCGGATAGGATGATTTTAGAAGTCCTTTCAGTTAAAGGATTTTTTCTGATCAAGGAACAAAGTCACTGTGGTGAGAAATGAATGGAATGTTTTTCAGAAAAAGATGTTTGCTTTTCTAGTAGCCACATTTTTAAAGAGCAGTAAAATGGTGGAAACAGGTGAAATAAATATTGATGATATATATTATTAAATAAAATATTTCATGTCATGTATATAAAACAAGTATCAGGGGATTATTTCACATTGCTTTTTTCATATCAAATCTTAGAAATACAATGTGTGTTTATGGCATATCGCATTTTAGATGATAGATTTTCATTGAAGACACTTGATCTGTATTTTAGTTTACAGGTTAAGAAGTAGATTCTCCTGTGGCGACATTCTTAAATTTTGTAATAATTGAATTGAATACTAGTTCTTAAATTTAAAGAAAGTTGAAATAAGGTCACACTAGTCACATTTCAAGTACTGAATGGCCATGGATGTCTGGTGGTTACCATATTGGACAATGAAAGTTGAGAGAATACGAAGAAATATACCATTTGATGTTAGCTTTCAAGGAGATTTTATATATACATATATACATACACGTGTATATATATTTCAGTAATACACAGTAAAACCTTGGATTCTGAGTAACTTGTTCTGCGAGTGTTCTGCAAGACAAGAACCTCTCTTAAACATTTTAACTTGATAAATGAGCGATGTCTTGCAATATGAGTAGTACATGGCACCGAATGTCATGATCACAACTCAGCCGATGGTTCCTGAAATTTGCCTTGATATACGAGTGCTTTGGATGACGAACATGTTTCCGGAACAAATTATGCTCAAAACCAAAGGTTTTACTGTAATCCCAAACCGAATATAATGAAATGCTCAAAGTTTGCAGTGGACAGGCTCTGTGCTATTGAGATAGAAGTTCCAGCAACATCCACAGCTTGCTGCGTCCTTCACCACTTTGAAGTCTGAATGGTGGCAGTGATGTTTTTGGGTTTGTAAGGATGGAGCGTCATACTTTAGCAAGTGTGTGTGTTCTCCCTGCAGGCATGGGACCCGCTGTGCTGGAGAAGTGGCAGCCGCAGCAAACAACTCTCACTGCACAGTCGGAATTGCTTTCAATGCCAAGATCGGAGGTATGGGAAACAAACCTAGGCGGATGCGGAACCCTTTGTGAGCTCAAGACAGGGATCTGAGTGCACAGTAGTGTTCACCTGTTGCCGAAAATGACCACCTTAGCATGTGTTATTAATACGGTTAAAGGCTTTTGAAGCCATCTCCCTAACGTATCGCAAACACAGACATGTCTTTCTTTAAAACAGGCGTGAAAAAAAATGTTGAGTCATGAAGATGGGGGGGTCATTGACAGCTCTATCCCAAACTATATAATCGCTGCCTGGGTCAGAGAGAACTGATAACATAAATACGAGCCCATCACATCTCTAGGGAAAGAAACATTTCGAAGTTACGTCAAAACAGAAAACCCATTTTTTTTCTTCGTCCTTACGCTTTACAAAAAGTTCCTTGTAATTGAAGGGAAATTGGCAAGTGGTAAAACCTCCTTTTGTAGCCCCATAATGTAGTGATACTGTACTGTTAATAATTCCAGATTATGTGTATACATTATACATGCCTGCACAAACTCAAATAGACAGATGCCTACTCCAAGGGCCCAACCGAAGTAGTATAAATCTAGGCATTAATAGAAGCAAACTCTTACTTTCCCATCTGTTAGCATATTTGTTAGCTGTAGCCTAGTGCCTCAGTCACACACCAATGGGAAGAACACATTATGAGAGAGACTAGAGATGCTAGTGGCTCTGAAGGTGTCCCCCGGGGGGCGGGGGGGGGGGGTCTCCTAACCGGTGTCACAGATGAATGAAGTTCCTGGTTACTAGACCGACATGTTTGTTTCCGGTACACTCTTTGTTGTCAAGTGGTAAATAGAATTGGATCTAAAAAAATAAAGATAACAGTCCTTTCTAGGGTAAGTGTAGAGGTCTTGTAACATGAAATGTTTGGGGTCTATGGTAACAGTGCTAAGGAAAGGTTTTCTGACACTGCTTGAATGTCAGTGCTCAGTACATTTGCCCTTTCTCTCCTTTATTTCACACTGAATTCTTAGAGTATGGCAGCCTGTTAACCAGGAATTAGCTGTACTCTGAGAGCATCTGCTGTGTGTCAAGGGGAAGGTTCATGAAGCAGCTGAAGAAGAGAGACAGAAATTTCCCCTGAAGAGTGATGAGGTTGCTGGACACCCGATAGTCTCAGAGAATCAAATGGCTACGGTGGCTGCCTCATCAACCCTTCGTGACGTCCCAGATACACACAGTCCCTCACGTACACTGACACGCATCCGTGTCCCCATCATTACTTTCTAGTGCTACCCCAGCACTCGCTGACCTTCAGGGAACGAAGGTGTGAACTCGCAGATGAGCGGCCGACCTAGTGCACGGGGCTTCCGCGAGGAAATGAATGTCTGGCAATGAATGACTCACAAATGCTCTGTCATCCCCAGAACAAGAACATACTGAGGTAGAAATTTAATCCCCAGACCCAAAGCATGGAGGCTTGCCATCAGATAAAGAAAAAGCAGCCTTTCATCTTTAAACGTGAGGAAGCAAAGTTCCCATTTGTTAACTTTCGGTCAGAAAACTAGTATATTTACCCTCTCGATAGGATTTCATCCGGCATTTTTTTTTTTTTTTTCATGGACCTGCCACTCCTGCTCCAGGAAGTTATATAGTCCAGAGTTTATTTCAGACCTCTTTGTCCCAATAAAATACAGTTGATCCTTAAACAACACAGGTTCGAACCGTGCGGGTCCACTTATACGCAGAGTTTTTTCGATAAATACAGTCCAGTACAGTAAATGCATTATCTCTTCCATAAGATTTCCTTCATAACCTTTTCTTTGCTCTAACTTATTTTATTGTAAGAATACAATCAATATATAATACATATGTCATACAAAATACATGTTCATCGATGGTTTATGTTAGAGGTAAGGCTTCTAGCCAAGAGGAGTTAAGTTTTGGGGGAGTCAGAGTCGTACGTGGGCTTTTGACTGACTGCACGGCGGTAGGGAAGGGCTAGCAAATCTAACTCTGAGTTGTTCAATGGTCAACTGTAGTTCCATTTTATGCCTTGAAATGGCAAGAAGTAAAAATTGAAGAATATGAAGCAGCCCATCTTTTTTTAGTAAACACCGTGCAGATGAATTTTGAATATTCATGTCAAATTAAAGCAAACCAGTGGCTACTTCGGACCTAGTATATGCAGAAAGCCAGGCTTTCTACTCCCACAAAACACAGTGTCGACATGTCTTCCGAGTGCAGTTTCCATTTCATAATTTTTAAAGTGACTTGGTTTACAACCTTTGTTCTCCGTATCACCTGTTATATACGTCTTCAAAAATCCAAAAGTCTAGCAGAAAAGACAGCCAAGAGATGGAACAATCAAGTGCAATGTCTTTAGGGAGGCTTTGGGGATATTTAATGTGTCCTGAGTGTTTATTTCTATTGTTCTTTTGTAAAAAAAAAAATTATATATATATATATATATATATATATATATATATATATATATATATGGTGTGTGTGTGTGGTGTGTGTGTGTGTGTATGATATGTATGATTTTCAGCGGAACCTTTTTACGCCACATGACAGGTCACTATATAAAAGGGTATAGTGACCTATCTGTCACGTGGCGTAAAAAGGTTCCGATGCAAATCAGGCGCAATGTTAACAGTTCTTGAGTATTGTTGATATCAATGCTCATTGTCATTTTATTTTTTTATGTTTGTCAATTTTAGAGTTAACAGTTAAATCATTTTTTTAAAGCACAAAGAAGGTACAGTATTTTTTCAAAAATAGGTTTATTTTCTACCAGAAGTCCACCTCAAACCACATAGCATTAAAGCTGGCCTGCTTTGCAGTTTTATAATAAAAATGTGTTGGTAGCCATAAAAGCTTGAAATCCTACTGGATAACAAGGTTTTTCAAAGGAGTGAATTTGGACCATAAAGATGGGATTGTAAAATACTACAGTCTCTCAGTGATGGTATTTAGCTGAAGCTGAAGGAGAGAGAGGTTTACTTAATAATTAGATGTTCTGATGTTTCAAGTCTTAAAAATAAAAGGAAAGAAGGAAAGCCTGACGTTTGACCTGTAATTTATTTTTGCATATCTCTGTTTATTTTTGCCTATTAAGGTTAATAATAAATTCCTGTCTGTCGGGCAGGACTATACTTAAATGAAGATTAATGACTAAACATTATTAAAACCCTTTGAGAATTATTTGATGCGTTCCATGCTCCAAGAGCATTCTCATTTATTGTTTGACTCATAAATAACTTGGCAAAGAAATAATATATTAAGTTCACATCAGTCTTACAGATTAGGAGATAATATTAAATATGGAGGAAATTAGACCCACCTAACTTGGCCGCTTTCCAAATTTGGTGAGCTCGCTAAGGTCAGAATGCTTTATGCCAATTATGAACCCAAGTTACCTGATGAAGAGAAATTTCGGGAAGATGGATTGCCTGGGGTTCTCTCTGTCAAGTACTCTCTGAAGACAGGGGCAGAGGGCAGGGAGAAATTGTGGGAACGTTAAAAAAGAGAATAACGGATAAAAAAGATTTGAAAGAAGTTTTCCTCCATCGTGCACAACATAATTTACTTTCTCTCCAAGAAAGCTTCAGAAGAGTCTACGTTATCCTTTTTGGGGGGAGGGGGGGAGAGGATATGCTCACATAACTGTTGATTAAGTGTATTCTTTGCCCCCCAAATGCTGTGATTGGAGTATGCCTTGGGCTGTTCGGGTGTTATATAGTGAAGCCTCTATTCAAGCTAATTCCCTTCTGTCTGGAAGGGGTTCGGATGCTGGATGGAGATGTCACAGACATGGTTGAAGCGAAATCGGTTAGCTTCAATCCCCAGCACGTGCATATCTACAGTGCCAGCTGGGGCCCGGATGATGATGGCAAGACCGTGGACGGACCGGCTCCACTCACCCGGCAAGCCTTTGAAAACGGCGTTAGAATGGTAGGTTTAAAAGCTCATGCTCGGTCAATCGGTGATGATTCTCCTGTGAACCCACCCGTGGGCTCCAGTCCTTCAGTCTAGAGGAATGAATGGAGCTCAGAGCTGAGCCGGGAAAGAGGCGCGTTTAGCTTTAGAACCGTGTGTTGCATCCATTCTGAAAACGGGCTAAGAGCTAGAGAGTTTCCCCTGACAAAATCAGAGGTGTATTTGGATGCTTAGATTTGCTCAGAGAAAATCCATTCATTAATACACGTTAATCTTGCATTTGGAGAAATAAATACTCAGCACTGCGAGATGGAGATGTGAAGATACTCAGTCTCTCCAGTCGGTGCCCCGGGTCACCAGCAGTGCCCCTCTGGGCCTCCCCCTTTCTTACTCCCTTGGCTCCACTGCTGTCCCAGGACAATAATATTTTTATGCTGCCTCCCAAGTTCCCTAACCAGGCAGCTCAACCCATCGTCATTTTCCTTGATTTCACTAAAAAATCCACTCACCGTTCCTCCTCTGCAAAAACTGACCACATAACCTAATGTAATAAAATGTTTTCTTCAAATTACAGATCTGAAAAAGCCCTGTCTTATTTTAATTAATTCGGTAAAAATACAGTAAAAATAAGGTTGCTGTATACTTCTAACCATGGAAGAAGGAGCATTCCATCAGAGGCCACTCCCTTCTGTTTCTTATTCGTGAATGCAACTTTGGGTGACTGAAAGCATACCTTTTAATCATGATCTGGGCCCACCCTTCCTTTCCTTCACCGTCTCTTTTTACTTTTTGAAATGTAAGCGGATTCCATTCTTCCTGTCCTTTATCACATCCCCTGCGCATCCCCGCCTCATCCCTAGGTCCTCTTCCTATACAGCTGATTCTGTTCCACCGTCAAGCCTCAGTGAAAATGCTGCCTGTCTCCCGAAGTCTGCTCACTACCCAGACTGGAACTAAGTGCAAGCAGTCCCTACCCCGCACCTGCTAAACTTCGCCTTCTTACTAGTGTTACGTATCGTCGTGATCACAGTGTGCTTTATATCAGAGATATTCTTGCCTGTATTTTCCTCGTGGAACTGTATGTCCCTAGACAGCAGAGTTGTGCTCTATCTATCCTTAGGGGCTTTGAAAAACCCAGAGGGTACATGGAGCCCTAGCGAGTACTCCGTGAATGTTGGTTGAATGTCATTTAATTTACTACGGATTGTGCCAACCACAGGATGGATGTATATTTGGCCCAGATTTGGAGCAGTGGGATGCATGCCGTTGGTCAATGTCATGTTGCGGCTGAAGTACAAACAATAATGCTTCTTCCACCTTGGTGGGACTGGTGTTAGGGTTTGATCACAAGACCGTGAGCTAAGCTCTCTCCTGGTCATTTTGAAATAGGCTGAAAGGAAACGCTTATGCAGTTGTTCAGGATGTACTTCCTCACTGAAGGCTCATTCAGGCATGGTTAAGACATACTTTCTAATTCTGTCAATTTTTAGATACTTTAGAGCCCTCTAAAGTCATAGAACAGGGTTTTAAATTGTTGCCTAGAATTTTCCTTTCAAGGTATCTGAACACCAAATGAATGTACTCTAAGTAAACTGGGGATTCCATGACCAAAGCCCTGGGCTACAGATTAGTGTACCATCTCTCTGTGCCATCGATTGAATGGTCATTCAAGTTAATAAATCAAGCCTAGTTTGTCTTTAATTTTCAAGTTGTATGTGTATGGCTTTTGCTATAATAAAGAGTAGGCTGGAATTTCTCAATATCCTTATGTTAGTAACTAGTAATGACTAATCTCATGACTGTACATACAGACAGAGAATGCCCCATATTCAATAGTGGCCACTGAATCAGGTGATATGGACCAGTGGTTTTCAAATTTATTTTCTCTAGGGAATCTTTCAGTGGAAATCTTAATGGGAAGTTCAGTGTGTAAAGCAGATTAAACATATGGTACTTTGGTTGAAGGAGGAAAGGATTAAGATGAGAAAGAAGATCCTCTGAGGAAGTTATTCAAACTTATAGGAAGATTATATTTAGAAAAAATTCCTTTTTTAAAAAAAATTTTTTTAATGTTTATTTATTTTTGAGACAGAGACAGAGCATGAACGGGGGAGGGTCAGAGAGAGAGGGAGACACAGAATCCCAAGCAGGCTCCAGGCTCTGAGCTGTCAGCCCAGAGTCCGACGCGGGGCTCGAACTCATGGACCATGAGATCATGACCTGAGCCGAAGTCGGAGGCTTCACCGACTGAGCCACCCAGGCGCCCCGGAAACAAATCCTATTTTTAAAAATTACTCTGTATTCACTATTAAGTACGAAATTAACCTATGCTTTATTTTTTTTTTTTAATGTTTATTTATTTTTGAGAGGGACAGAGACAGAATGCGAGTGGGACAGGGGCAGAGAGAGAGGGAGACATAGAATCCAAAGCTGGCTCCAGGCTCCGAGCCGTCAGCACAGAGCCCGACGCGGGGCTCGAACCCACAAGCAGTGAGATCATGACCTGAGCCGAAGTCGGACACGCAACCGACGGAGCCACCTAGGCGCCCCAACCTTTGCTTATTATAATAAGTCATACTGTAAAGTTGAAATTGAAAACAGATTTCCCACCCAACTGGATAACCCTTGTTGAGTATGAACTACACCTTTCTTTACTTGTGTATGCATTCACACAGCAGACGGGTCACATGCCTCTGCATGTTGCTAGTTTCACTTAACAGGGTGTAGTGGGCATTCTTCCACGGCAATGCAAAAGGATAGAACTCATTTATTTTAATGTTTCAAAAATGTTTAGAATATGGACATACCATAATTTATTCAACATTTCACTGAAGATCCTTCAAGGTTTCAATCTTTAAAAAAAAAAAAAAAAAAAAGTAGGGTTAGCTTTAAAATGAACCGTTTACTTTTAGAGTTAAGGTAATAACAAAAGAAATCACTCTTAAAAGCAACAGATTATTCTCTGGCTCCTATCCTGGCACATTCAATTATGGAAGAGCAGCAGTGACCCATTTAAATGTGATTAGATCAACAGGATAGGGTTTTTAGCGTTTAATACACATGGGCTTTGGATTTATCCAGGGTTGAGTCCAGAATCTGTCATTTACTGCTCTCTGACCTGATATAGATCAAATTACCTCTGTTCTCCATTTCCTCTTCTAAAGTAAGGGACTAATAGTACTGACTTACAGAGATGTTACGAGTGTTAAATGAGGCGATAATGCATATAAAGCAGTCGGCACAATATCTGAAACATAATAGGTGCTCAAGAAATACATTTTACTTATACACGTATGTATGCATACTTTTTTTTTCAGAAAAGAGATCACGTCCTTCCAAAAAACTTAATATTTCTCTTCGATCCCCCATCCTTCTCTACCATTTCCACACCACAGAATTCTAGATGATTCCATTGAGTTTACCTATAGTGGTGGATTAAAAACAATACAGTAGAAACTCATAGACTTCCTGAGTTCTTACATGCCCATATTTTGTCCTTCCTATGTCTGTCCTCACCTTCAGTTTCATTTGCCCTTAGGGGCACATCTTCCGTTTCATCAAGACAACTTCTTGATACACAGCTCTATTCTACATTTGTAGATCTATTGTAGATCTATTCTGTGTTTGTAGTCTTGAATTTAATTTATCTTTTCCCAAGAGCTGTTTCTCTGAATATCTGGGGATACATAGTTTAACATTTTTAAAGCAGTACAGGAGTCTTCCAGGGGAAAGAAATCTCTTTGTCATCAGGCATCAAACGGCATAGTACATCTCACGTTCTTTGAGATTATTCTAAGTTGTGTTCTTTATATATATAACGTACGTGGTCAAATATATACAAAATGATTGCCTGAAACGTATACAAAGTTAGATTATAAAGTGCGACTGAGAAACAAATAAGTGATTTATTGACTGAGTGACGTATGGAATGAAGGAATAAATGATTACTACAACAGTTCCTTCAAGTAGCGAGGTAAAAAACCTATGTGACAGCTTTTTTTTTTTATTAAAAAAAAATTTTTTTTAATGTTTTTATTTATTTTTGAGACAGAGAGAGACAGAGCATGAACAGGGGAGGGGCAGAGAGAGAGGGAGACACAGAATCGGAAGGCTCCAGGCTCCAAGCCATCAGCCCAGAGCCCGACGCGGGGCTCGAACTCACGGACCGCGAGATCGTGACCTGAGCCGAAGTCGGACGCTTAACCGACTGCGCCACCCAGGCGCCCCATCCTATGTGACAGCTTAAAGTCATTCTGGCCCAGTAGAGTTTTCACTGGATCATCTACAAAAATAGGGGAACTAGAGTTTTCACTGGATCATCTACAAAAATAGGGGAACTGAAATGCATTTGTTCTTTCTATTAAACTTAGCATACTCCCACTTTGTAGTCAATGTGGGTAAAGCAGTGAAGGAGACCTCTAAGTTTTGTATGCAATACAGACAAGTCTCTACATTCTAGTCATTAGACAGGAAACAAACCTAGAAACCATCAAGACCACGAGTTGAAGATAAGTGTTATAAATGAGATAAACAGGAAAGAGGGAAGGACAGAACCACTGTGGTTAAGAAGGATAGGGAGTCCTCTGTGAGGAGATGATACATAAATGAGGACAGTATTGACACGATGCCGGTCATGTGGAAGGAATGTTCTCTGCAGAAGGAACAGCAAGGGCAAAGCACCCCGAGGGGAGAATAGTCAGGTGTGCTCACGGAACAAAATGCTAATTTGGGTGCTGCGAGCAATGTGGACAGAAAGTAGTCAGTAGAAGGTGGCTTGGAGAGGTAGGCAGGGGCCAGCTCAGCAGGGCTTTCTAAACCACGGAGGGTGTTTGCATTTTATTCCATTACAGAAAACCATTAGAGGTTTTCAGCAGAGTAGTGGCCTGTGGGGATACACAATTGTAAAAGCTCGCTGCTCTGTAGGGAAAGTGTGGGAAAGTGGCGGGGAGGTAAGACCTGAAGGTCGAAGGGAAGAGTTGATGATGAGTAGGACGGGGCGGGGGCGGACAACCACG